TACAAACGGAATGACAAAGTTAATATACCCTCCTTTCCAAGGTGGAGGGTATAAAAAGTAAGCAAAGGCTATAATCGTGCGGGGCTGACCCTGTGATACCCTACAACACTACAAAATGTTCGAAGTCCATTTATATCCAAATCCATTTTATAAGATTTCGTTTTTGAAATAATGCCAAAGAGCCCTGCCCAGAGGTTACCCTTAGGAGAATTTGGCCAATATTTACGCATTCCGTAGTGTTGGGAAGTATTCCAAACAATTGCACAGGAAAGCTGTGGTCCATTTTACAGCTAAATATAATCCAATGGTCATCTAAAATGCTAGACTTCTTCTTCTTCTTCTCTGTCCTCAACTCTCTTTCGATGCCAAATTCCGTCTCGATTAGTAGTAAATTGTGGCCTATAGAACGACTACAAAATTAGAAAAATTTAAAATTTTTTAGCCATTTAAACCTCTTAATGCACATCCTAAGAACAATAGGCTTCAATTCCGACCCGTGAGGATCGGCCGATAATGACGACATACATATAATACCTTCAAAACGTAGTGTTGGGAGTGTAAAAATTTAGAAAATTTAAAATTCAAAATTGTAAGTCAAATTGAAAAAATCGCATGCGATAAAAAATATGACAAAGATGGAAAAAATGAAACAAAAGATATAGATTTTTTTTGGTATATTATCCCGCAACTTTCTTAAATTTTATCTTTTTCTGGCAAGAGACCATTCCAAATTGATGGGAATTGTGAAAATCGGCCCAGCGGTTCTTGATTTACAAGCAGAATAAATAAGATCAATTCTTTTACATATGTATTGTACCTATTTTGCTATATATCCGATTTATTGGCTATTAGCATCACTGCAATGGTCAGAAGTGATCTTTTAATGTATTTGAGATTTGGCTGGGACTAAAAATATTCGCGGTTTAGTGGAAATTTTCCTATTTTCTAACATAAAAGTTAGGGTCTATTTTACCCGCTAATTATTGTCCGATGGCCGCTCAAATTGGTAGGTTTCTGGCCAGTCTCACGCTCTAACTCGTATAAATTTTCGTGTCGATTGGTTCATAATTGTGGCCTATAGAGCAACTGCAAAATCAGGAAAATTTTCTGTTTTTGGTCCATTTTAACCCCTAAATATCGTGCGATCATCTCCAAAAACAATAGAGTTCAATTCTGACTCTAACCCCACCTCCATTTTCAATTTCATGAGAATCGGTTCATAATTGCGACCTGTAGCTTGATTACAAATTAACATGGACAGACGGACGGACGGACATACATAGCTAGATCGACTCAGCTCAGCGAGCTAGGAATACCCATATATACTTTCTCATGTGGGAAGCCAATATTTCGAGGTGTTACATAATTTTTGGCCCAATATAACTTATAATACCCCCAACACATAGTGTTGTTGGGTATAAAAATAAATTAAATAATACTTTCATGGCCTTTCCGTCTCTACAATAATCCTTTTCTTGCACCAATTTCCAATTGCACGAATAATATCAAGATCGGTTGAAATCGTTCATATGTTGCTACACTTATCATATATTATATGAAGATTGTTACATATCTTACACACACACATCGGTGATAAATAATTGCACATTTATTACATATTTTTGTGAGTGAATACGCACACATGCACCTCATGAATGGCATTCTATATAAATGGATTTTAATTGAAAAAATTACTTTAGATTTTTCTCCACAAGACAATATTCCACATGGCCATCGAAAGTATTGAATATGCTAGTCATTTATTATGTGAATATGTGACATGAAAAGAAAGCTGGAACAGGTGAAAGCCCTGTGGGATAAACGAGGTTTTCTTATATTTTATGCTAGCATTTGCACATAAACCATAATAAATTTGCTGTAATTCTAAGGCAGTGCACGTTATTTCTTATGAAGAGAATGGTAGTTTTTTGAAGTTTTCTGAGTATGCCATGCTACAAAAATGCTCATATGTTATTTGTAGAGGGGGAACAAACAGTTCATATTAATGGAAATAAAGTGACAAAAAATTATGAGACCCATATAGAATATATAAGATTCCTCTTGCAGAGAATACTTTTCAAAAGTCCTTGAAGGAGGCATTTTATTTAAAAATTGCCTTGAAAAGGTTTTATAAATAGTTAGACGTTATGAGGCCTCCTGTCTATAGAAATCTTTCCTTGAGAATATAGTATGTTCAAAAGACCTTAGAGAGGTCTTCAGGGCAGCTTTCGATAAAATATCTTTGAAAAGTCGTCTATTCCTTAAAGACTCTTAATTGTTCTTTTTTATTTACAAGGACATTCTGCTTCTTTTATAGAAGACCTTAAAGAGTTGTTCTATGCTCAGAATACCTTAAAACGTCTTGTGCATATATAGAAGCCCTTCAGGAGTTCCTTCAGAATAACTTTAAAATATTTGTCTGTCTGTCTTCTATACCTTAAAGAGTTATTCTGTGCTCAGAATACCTTAAAAAGTTTTGGGCATATATATAAGACCTTCAGCAGTTCCTTTAGAATACCTTTAAAATATTTTCTACGTATAGAAGACACTCAAGAGGTATTTTGCTTTTAAAGACCCTCAGGAGGATTTCTACATATAAAAGATCCCCAGGAGGGGGTTTCTACGTATGGAAAACCCTGAGAATGCCCACCGAATTTAGGAGACGCTGAGGGAGTCTTCTGGCAATAGAAAACCCTCAGGTGGTATGGAAGACCCTACCCATATTCTACCAATAGAAAATCCTCAGGAGATCTTCTTGTTACAGAAGACCCCAGGCGATCCTCTACATATGATATACCCTAAGGAAGTCTCCAACGAAACTTGCAAGCTGTCGACCTCATATAGAATACTGTCATCTACACACAGGGGATCTTTAGAGACTCTTAATATATTTTTATATCTTGCCGTCTTTATACCCTACACCGCATAGAGGTAAGGGTATTATGTCTTTGTGCAGTTACTTTTGTGGATATTCATAGAATCACTTTCTGGGTCGATTTATGCATGTCAGTCCGTCCGTCCATGTATTCTTGTGAACAAAATGCAGATCGCGCCAAATGGCCAATATAAGTCCTAACGACCTGAATTTTGGTACATAAAATTTTGGTAATATGCACTCCAGAAGAATAATATCATCAGATACTGCTCGAAAATACCTCTGTCAAATTTTATAGAAATCGGTTCAGACTAAGGTATAGTTCCCATATATATCTTTATCCGATATCAGGTGCACCAAATGGCTAATATCAGCCCAAATGGGCTGAAATTTGGCAATTACAACCAAATTCATCCTAGAAACTAGCGCTTCAAATTTGTAAATCGGTTCAGATATGGCTATAGCTCCCATATATATGATTTATTCGATTTGGGGTTTAAAGACCCTCACACGCGTAATATGCATTCCACAACAATGACCTTTGGTACCAGACATCAGATACAGCTCTGAAATAATACGAGAACGACCAAGATTCAAGATTCAAGCTCAGACATATCCGATTTCATGTTTGTGCAAATAATGGGTAATATCAGCCTACATGGGTGAATTTCGGGACGTGCGTTTCCATTTTGTGCAACTCGGTTCCGATATATATATATATATTTTAATTCTTCTCCAAGCGAAATCATGCACTTGATAGCCATGTTAATAAAAAACCAGTAAAGAAAGTCTTAAAGTCGAGCGGGGCCGAATTTATGATACCCTACACCACTTTGCTAATTTAGTAGAGCTCCGCATATCTACAAAAAGTTTTTATGGGAGAATTCAGTCATACACGCTATGATTATAATTATAATTTAAAGTTCAAAGGACTAAATATGCCGAAGCATTTGTATCTTTTAAATTCGGACTTGTATTGCCCATTTGGTGCACAATTTATTTGAAATCGGATAATAATATATATGAGAGCTAAATCCAAATCGGAACCAATCTCAATAAAATTTGGCAAAGATATTTCTGAGCTGTATTTGAAATATTTCCCTGAATATCGTTGTTACGGAGTGCATGTTACGGCTGTGGGTAACAAATATAACAAATCGGATGAACAGTATATATGGGAGCTATAGCTATATCTGAACCGATCTGCACCAAATTTGACACTAGCTTCTAGACTAAATTCGGTCGTATGTGCCAAATTTCATCCCATTTGGGCAAATATTAGACGTTTGGTGCACAATCAAAGGTAAATCGGACGAACTTATATATGGGAGCTATATCGAAATCTGAACCGATCTCGATAAAATTTAGCAAATGTATTTCTGAGCTGTATTTGATATATTTCCACAAATATTGCATATTACGGCTGCGGAGGACAAAAATAATAAATCGGATGAACAATATATATGGGAGCTATAGTTATATCTGAACCGATTTCGATCAAATTTGGCGTACTTATTTTCAGGTCCAATCTGATCGTACGTGCAAAATTCCATACTATTCGGACTGATATTACACGTTTGGTGCGCAACAAAAAGCAAATCGGACGAAGATATATATGGGAGCTATATCTAAATTTTGACCGATTATCTTCAATTTCAATTGGGTTCGTCCTTGGACCAAACTAGTGACTTATGCAAAATTTAATCTGGATAGGGCAATAAATACGAACTGTACTTTGTTTACAAAAATACATGGACAGACGGACGGACGGACATGCATAAATCAACTCAGAAGGTGCATCTATGCAGATCATCAAAAGGAACTATGGGTCTATCTCGTTTCCTTTTGCCTGTTACAAACAAATGCACAAAGACATAATACCCTGACCACCTTGTGGTGTAGGGTATAATAAAATTTAGTGAAAATCGATCCAGAACTGGATATGCCTCCTACATATTAGTTCCCTCTGGAACCAAACTAATCTACTTAAAATAAAAACTTTTGTTACGGGAGTTCTTTTAAATATGCATAGTGGTGTAGGGTGTCATATAGTGACATTTCCTTACTGTTTTTTTATAGATATTTAAAAAGCCAATTGCGTGTACCCAATTTTACTTACCGAGCCTTCCTTTTTCGATTCCAAAGCATAATTTACTTTTGTAAACATGTAAACGTCAAGCGGCATTTTAAGCGTTTCAATTCCACAGCCTCATTGTGCGAAAGTTTCCCTGGCACAAAACTTTATCTTTGCCATGCTATGCAGCGGGCAAATATGTAAGCGTGTGCGTAGCTTTAGCAAAGTGTTGATATTATAATTGCTTTACAAATTGCTACTTTTCATTTTTCTTACTTTCTTTTGTATCAGCTTCTTCTTCTTTTGGTTGCTTGCCTGTGTCTTCTTTGTGCTTTGCTCTTTGAAGGGAATATGAATGCTACATGGTAAAGTTTTTCGGGGTAACATATTGCCAAAATTGTAGGCTTACCATAAACTAATTGGCCTGCAGCTGCTTCTGCTTCTTCTTTATCGTCTTTTGCTCTTTCCTTTTTGTTGTTGTTGATGGTGGTGCGTTCAATTGTTGTTAATGTAACAATTGTGTTGCAAAATTTGGCTGCAGATTTTAATAAACGGAAAAGTTTTTCGCCTCCCTCCCACAATAAACGCATAAGAGATTTTCTGAAAATTTCCTACGATGACGATTGTTGTGGTTACAAATGTTTTGAACAAAATCGTTTGTTGTAATCAATTTTGAATTGCTGTCGATGGAAAATAAATTTAGAGTTTTTTTTCAAAATTGACAAATAGGGATATGAATATATTTATGAAAGGGTAAGGGTGATGGGTGATTTTTGGATGTGGGATACGCTGGATTTCTGCCTCTGTTTCAAAGGAAAATAAAAAATACAAAATCTTTCGGGAAATTCGCACAAGAAAAAAAAAAACAGAAGAACAAACTACTAAAGGAAGTAAATAATACAAAATATTCTACCAATAGTATATACCACGTATATTTAAGTACCTATATTAATTGCATAGTACTGTGTGAAAGTGCCAAATAGTAGTCGATCATAAAATTTGTATACCCTCCACCATACATAGTATGGAGGGTATATTAAGTTCGTCATTCCGTTTGTAACTCATCGAAATAATCATTTTAGACCCAACAAATTATATATATTCTTGATCAGCGTAAAATTCTAAGACGATTTAGATCTGTCTTGCTAAACGAATTAAGATAAAAAGCTAAAATTTTGCCCAGATCTCTCTTTTTTCTGCAGGCAGTTCAAGTTCGAAGATGAGCTATATCGGTCCACGATATCATATAGCCCCCATATAACGGTACCCCCGATATTCGGTATTTTGATGATTTTAGCCACATTTTTTAATGAAATTGTGTGTAAATCCACACAAGCTGTTCTTTAAAAGCACTTTTTCTCTTGGCAGAGAATTATCTACATAGGTCCACGATATCGTATAACCCCCATATAAAGGAAACTCCCGATATTCGGTATTTTGATGATTTTAGCCACATTTTCTAATAGAATAGTCTAGAAATCCACACGAGGAGTTCTTTGTGGGCACTTTACCTCCTGAAAGAGAATAGGTCCACGTCTTCGTATAGCCCCCATATAACGGTACCTCCGTATATTCGGTATTTTGGTGATTTTAGCGTCTTTATTCACCAAATTTTTTTCAAATTACGCATTTAGAGTTCGTAATGGAATCTCCAGTCTGTGAAAGAAAATTGTCTATGCAGGTCCAGGTATTCGTATAGGCCCCATATACCAGTACCACCCTATATTCGGTATTTTGGCGAGTTTAGGTACAATACTCACCGAAATTGTTTGAAATGTCGTATTTGAAGTTCGTAATGGATGCTACAGCCTGTGACAAAAAATTGTCTACTCAGGTTAAGGTCTTCGCACAGGTCCGATATAAAGGTACCTCCCTATATTCTGATTTTAGCTACATTATTCACCGTTTATTTCAAGTTCCGAATTTGAATTTGGTAATGACTCATGACAAATAATGCCTGTGTGGGTCCACGTCGTATAAGCACCAATATAACTAAAATATTCGGTATTTTTAAAATTTTACCAAAGTTTTTTCAGGATTTTATTTCCAAATTCGTTCCAAATGGTGAGAGGTATTCAAAGTTCGGCCCGGCCGAACTACTGCTTTTTAACTTGTTTTGATTAGATTTTGAATCGTATCCGTTAAGAATATTGAAAGCATCTTGTATAAAAAATGTTAGATTTTTTTCTTCGTATTTTGAAGGACCTCCAGATTTGAGATTTAGGAGTTCTCTGCAAGCACCAAGAAAACAAAACATTAACTAACAAAAAAAAAAAAAAAAAAAAAAAAAATGGATTTTTTAAAACAATATTTGTTGTTAAAGAGCGTCTTGGATTTTTAAGTATATTTCCAGAGATAAACCAGCGGATTGTTTTAAAGCCTATTTTTAAAGTATATTGCAGCACCTCTTAACGAAACATTATGTTTTTTACAACATTTCACTGGATTTTTTAAAAAATATTTTTTTTTTGAAAAAAAAAAAAAATAAAAAAAACAAGCAAGTAAGCAAAGGCTACAGTCGTGCGGGGAAGACCATGGGATACCCTACAACACTACCAACACTACAATATGTTAGAAGCCACCTTATGTCCAAATACATTTTGGAAGATTTCGTTTTTGAAATAATGTCAAAAATAATGTCCCTGTCCATAAATACCTTGAAAATTATACCCAGGAAAATTAGACCAACCAGTGGCTCAATTCTTGTTCTATGAAAATGTGAAATGAAAACTTTTATAAAGGAAAGAAACGTCAAATGAAAAATTTTATAAAGGAAATATTTTTCATTTCATATTTTCATAGAACAAGAATCCAGCCCCAGAACGGCCATTCGGCAACCAAGTTTGCCGTCAATTGACATATTGTAATCCAAAGAGAGTCATATAAACTACTAAGTTTATTGTCAAATTTTTGTCAACAGTAGTCTGCTTGCTCGATCTCATGTAGGCATTGATGCCAATTTCATTTGAAGCCAGTTTTATTGAAGCACTCCAAGTATGAGTATTATTACTTCAAAATTTTCTTGAAGGGCTTTTCAAATTTGCTAAATAACAAAAATTTTATTTCACAAAGCTATTCTGGAGAAAAATGTCACACTCCAAAGAGGAACGCATAAAAGTCACTTTCGACAAGAAGGAGTTGCAAAATCGAATTTGCAAATTTTCATTTCGTGAAGCGCGTCGTCATGCCGGCGATCTTTACAAAGCTCTGGTGCAGGAACTGCGTGAAGATGGCTGTTTGGTATCGGCAAAATATTTTGAATTTTTGGCAGCCAAAGAAACGGATTATTATCTCAACAATGTTATACGAGATCGTGTAATGGACAATGAAAGCTTGCTAATGTCTCTCTATGACAATTGTAAAATGGCCGAGAGGTCAGCTCTGCTGGAGCAATGTGAGGGGATGGCGGTAACTTTTAATTTGTTATATCAAATTGTGGCGCTAATGGATGAACCGAAATATGTCACAAAATTTAATTGGCTGCGGCGTGATATCTATGAGATTGTGGCGAAAATATCCGATAAGGTTGGCAATGGGAAGGCCAATGTTGAGCGGCCAATTGCAATGATTTATTTGAAATATGGCAATTTTTTGAGTGGGGAGAGTAAGTTTAAAAGTGAGGGTACATCAGCAGCTTGGTATCATGGCTAGGCATATTAATGTCAAATTATAGGGCGAAAGGACTGCAGGATTCGAGTGCGGCTCTTGCATCTCCTTATGATATGTCTTAAAATATGGCAAGCTACTTAGTTATCCACACTTTAAAGATTTTATTATATTCAGTAAACTTCTTTATAACCAATTTATTTTGTAAGATGAGAATATGAATCTCGCTTTGCATTACTACGACAAGGCAATGGCTTTGGCTCAAACCCACAAATGGATTACACAGTCCAATCAACCTGATGCTCATCCTGCATTAATGTGTGTGCACACCACCATCGTGGAGCAATATGTGGCTGCACTTTTGAAATTTGGCAAAGTAATTGCCGTTCGCGATTATTTGCAAGCCGTAGGCTTAGGTCAAAAGGCCCTATGCATCCTAACACAAGGTGAAGCAATTCAATTTCGATTTAGATTCTCTTAATGAATTTTAATTGCCTTTCGTAGTGGGTCGAAATGTGCGAAACTTACATCAGTTTGTAAACATTCATTTGCACATTGCTGAATTCTACATTGAGGGGGAGAAATATGAAATCGCTTTGGCTATCCTCAAAACTGTTTGTGATGATTTGTCCAAGATTGATAAAAGACATGCGGAAGAAATGACAATGCGTTTTGATCTCAATAAGGGAATTTGCCATACTAGGTTAGTGCCCCCTCCTCTCCCTCCGTGATGTATGAGAGATTTATTGCTTTTTATAGGCTCCACCATAATATGGAGGGTATATTAAATTTGTCATTCCGTTTTGTAACACCTCGAAACATACATTTTAGACCACACAAACTTGGTATATTCTTGATCAGCATAAAATTCTATGTCGACTTAGCGATGTCCGTCCGTTTGTCCGTCTATCCGTCTGTGGAAATCACTCTAGCTTCCGAACGAAGTGAAGAAGATTGATAAATTTTTACTCAAGTGAATATTTTTTCTGCAAGACTTTTGGTGTTGAAAATGGGTCCACCTCTTCGTAAAGCCCCCATATAACGGTACCTCCCGATATTCGGTACTTTGATGATTTTAGCGACATTATTCAACGTATTTGTTTTCGTAATGGATACTACAGCCTATGACAGAAAATTGCCTGTGCAGGTCCACGTCTTCGTACAGCCTTCATCTGACGGTACCTCCCGATATTCGGTATTTTGATGATTTTAGCGTCATTAATCACCGGAATTGTTTCAAATTTGGTATATGAAGTTCGTAATGTCCACGTCCTCGTATAGCCCTCATATGACGGTACCTCCCGATATTCGGTAATTTGATAATTTTAGCGTCATTATTCACCGGAATATTTTCAATTTGGCATTTGAAATTCGTAATGGATACTAGTGGATTTGATATTTGAAGTTCGTAATGGATACTACAGTCTATGACAGGAAATTGTCTTCGCAGGTCCACGTTTTGGTATATCCCTCATTTTAATGGTATCTCCCTATATTCGGAATTTTGATGATTTTAGCGACATTATTCACCGGAATTGTTTCAATTTTCGCATTTGAATATTGTAAAGGCTTATGACAAAAGTTGCATATGGTCCACTTCGTCGTATAGACCCTAATATAACGGCTACATTTGCTAATTTTAAGATTTTAACAGAATTGTTAACGGATTTTATTTTTTTGAAAATTGCCAAATTCGTTACAAATAGTGGAGGGTATTCAAAGTTCGGCCCGGCCAAACTTACAGCCTTTTTACATGTTTAAAGAAAGAAGAGGGATTAAAAATGTCAATTGAACCGGGCTCGTCTATATAAACTTGAGCTTTAACGTTGACCCAAAAAACCAGTCTAAAGATTTTAAATCGCACGATCTAGACGTTCGATTAACCGGTCCCATTTTCAGTTACGTTACGATTATCAGCATCTTTTTCTTGACTCATTTATAATTTTTGCCCTCACCTTGTAGTGACCTGTGATGATACCCACCACAAGTTTTAAGTCAGGTTTAGACAATGACAGTAGCGACTTTGTTTTCTTCTCCGAGAGTGTGGGCCAGATTCTTATGTTGCATTCCCTTTCAGTCCAGCGATTTTTGTTTAATTCTCTCGGAGTAGTGTTTATGATTACAGAGTTCTCAACTTCAATAGTAGACGATTCGGATTCTAGCCTAGCTAATTCGTCTGCAGTCTCGTTGCCTGGAATATTGTAATGACCAGGAACCCAACACAGCTTGATGGACAACCCAGCATTTTCCAAGGATCTCCTGCAGTCCAAAACAGACTTGATAGTAGTGGAGTTAATGTCTATCAGTGAAGCTTGAAAATCGACGTTTATAGTCACCGGACTGCTAACCTCGTTGTTCCTCGTTACCAATAGGTCTATGGCTTTTTTGATCGCGAAAGTTTCCGCCTGGAATACGCTACAGGCATTTATAAGCTTGTAGGATTCGCGAACATTAAGCATTAGTATTAAGTCAGGTGCGAAAATTGACAGTATCGGTCCACTCATTTTAGTACCTCCCCCACTAAGGGTGTAAATTGTTAATATCCGTGAAGTTCATAAAACGCGAAGTTAACATCCAATTCCATTCGACCTTGACAAATCTCAATGTTTTTATCAGCACAATTATTGTTATAAAGATGGTAGAGATCGGAAAATTCCTTCTAAAACCTCCCCCCCCCCAAAAAAAAAAAGGGTCAAATTTTTGAATAACCGAAACGATTATAAAATCCGAAATAAGCATCCGGTTCGCTTCATATTTCACACATCACAATACTTTCATTAACCCAAGGTAAAGATGGGATATATCGGTACTCTCCTTCTGGTACCTCCTCCACAAGGTGTCAAAATTTAATATCCATGAAGCACATAAAAAGCTAAATTAATAAATTAATTAAATATTCAGACTTGGTTCATCTCAATATTTCCATTAACACAAGACCTGTTATAAAGATGATAGTAATCGGACCATTTCTTCTTTTGCTATAATTAAAATGTCTCACTATAAAATACTGTGGATATAAAGTCCAGCCAGTCCAGTCTATCTTAAAATTTTACATTTTTTTTTTTGCTTTTTCAAAGCGCTGACCAATTACCTTATTTTAAGTCTCAAACAAACCAATGAAGCAATGCAAAGTTTAAAGGAAGCTCTCAAATTGGCACAGAAACTACAATTGCAATCAGCTGAGGCCCAGATCCATATGGAAATGGGAAAATTATATTTGCAACAGGGTGGCAGTCAACGTAATATGGCAAGGAATGCATTTCTCAAATCCAAGCAAATTTACAAAACTTTGGGGAACATGAAAAATTCCAGCAAAAATAAATACTTTCTGGCCCAATGCCTAAGTTCGGCAATATTTCCCCTGTTTATGGATCTCATGAAGTCAAGTGATAAATATTGTAATTTATTTCATTTGCGTCGTTGGAAATATCAATTGAAACCGTTTTGGCGTAATCAGCATCTGAGAAGTGACATGGATGATGAGTTGAAATGCCTGATGGAAGAATTTTCGAGGAAATCGACATTGAATTAAAAATAAATTTTAAATAATGCTTAAATTCAATTTTTTATTTAATAAACAAATTTTAATTTTAAAATCAATAATATTTTCAAATGAAGTGCAATCATTATGGTTTTTTTTCCCAGAATTGTTGAAATAGTTTTCCATTCGTTTGTGGGGCACAGGACAAATGCCATGACTCTCAGTCTGTGGTAGAAACAAGTTACTGCACTAACCACTTTTTCCATTTTCATGCTGTTCATGGTGAGACTGTGGCGTTTGTTTCGACTGCTGTTGCAAGGACTGCCACTGGTGTCTGTAGCTGGTGGATGGCCGCCACACTGATGGCTATGGTAAACCAGCATCATTTTCTTATCTAAACAGGCTAAACGATACTACTTTTGCCCGGTTGCATTTCATTACTTGTGTTTGCTATAGAGGGGGTGGTGTGATAAGTAAAGGATAGTGAGAACCCAGTAGGGAAAGGTCAAAAGTCGGGCGGAGCCGTCTATATGATACCCTACACCACCATGCGTATTTAGTGGAGTATATTGGGAATTGTGAAGTAAATCATACCAACTTTGAACCAAATCACTTGATGTATAGCGCATGATACGACCCCGATAAGGATTATATTAAATAAGTAAAAAAAGCTGTAAGTTCGGTTGGGCCGAACTTTTAAATCCCTCCACCATTTGGAACGAATTTGGCAATTTTCAAAAAAAGAAAAATTCTGTTAAAATCTTAAAAATATCGGACGAAGCCGTTACATTTGGGTATATACGACGACTTGGACCTGCAACTTTTTTATAAACTCATACAATATTCAAATGCGAAACTTGAAAAAAATCTGTTTATAATGTAGCTAAAATCATAAAATGCCAAATATAGGGAGGTACCATGGGGGCTATACCAAAACGTGGAACTGCACAGACAATTTTCTCGTTCATAGGCTGTAGTTTCCATTGCGGACTTCAAATACCAAATCTGAAGCAATTTCGATGGATAGTGTCGTTGAATTCATCGAGGTACCGTTATATGGGAGCTATACGATGACGTGGACCTGCACACACAATATTCTGTCTTAGACTGTAGCATCCATTTCGAACTTCAAATACCAAATATTAAAAAATTCCGGTGAATAATGTTGCTTAAATCGCTAAAAATCCGAAAATATGGAGGTGAGATGAAAAAACTACAACCAAATTGAGACTGCTGTCATTTCTAAGCCACTCGTCCGACAGCTGTTAAAATTATTTCAGTGACAGCTCATTATATTGTTTACAAGCTTGCAAAAGCATTTGGTGAGAAATTTCCGGAAAAAAAGTTATTCGTGATGGAATTCAGACCTGTTAGTTTGATTTCTTTATATTTGGTTGGAAAACCGCAAGTGGCTACCGTCAGAGCACTCCAGCGTTTAAATGTGAGTAAATCTTTAGTGTCTCGTACCATCGCTCATTACCGTGATACTAGTAGCGTAGCCCGATGTCAAGGAAGTGGACGGAAGAAATCAGCAACATCAGCAGAAATGGTTCGAAATCTAAAGAAACGACTTGATGGAAATCCGCATCGCAGTGGCCGAAAAATGGCTCGTGAGCTGAACGCAATATTCCATTCGGCATATAGTGAAAAATGAGCTTGGGGTAAAGCCATTGATAACCATGAAAAGTGGATGAACTTGCACCGCAACAGAAAGAAAATAGACTCAAAAGGGCTAAAGAGTTGCTTCGCTTGGCCGAAAGTGGTGAACTGCCGAATTTGGGTTTGTCCGAAAAACATTCGTTCCGGGAAAACATTCGTTATCCAGCTGTTTGTAAACAAATAAAATTATCGTGTTTACTTGCCAAAGAGGTCAGTTGAAGATGTGCACCTTCGGTTAGCCAACAGAACTCAAGCGCCGGCCATGGTGATGGTGTGGGCCGCCATAACAGCCGATGGTCGCTCTCCGCTCGTATTAATCGACCATGGTATTAGAATAAATGCCGAATATTATTGCGAAAATATTCTGGAGGGTGTATTAAAGCCTTGGGCACGCAGACATTTTGGCCGCAGACCTTAGACATTGCAACAGGACTCAGCACCATTGCACTCAGCACGCGCCACCCAAGAATGGTTACAAAATGAGGTTCCTTCCTTCATTTCCAGGGCACAATGAGCACCAAAATTTGAATACCAATCCATTGGACTATTGTGTCTGAAGTATCTTGGAAAATAAGGTTGGCACTAAAAATACCAAAGTGTCGATCAGCTCAAGCAAGTGCTTCGCCGAGAATGGGCCAAAATACCGCAGAGCAACATTCGGGCAGCGTATGACGATTTCATTGTCCGTTTGAAGGCCATAATTCGTGTCAAAGGTGACCAGTTCAAAAAAAAGCTAAACTTATTCTAAAATTTGATGCTATTTCCGAAATTTTTTCTTTCATTCAATAAAATAAAAAAAAAAATGTAAAAAGTATGGCGTTTGAATTTGTTGCAGGTTTTTTTTACCAAATTTGATTTACTTGCTTCTACACTGAATTCGGTCGGATTTGCCAAAATTTAAGTCATTTGGTTTGGTATTGGCCATTTGGTGCACAATTAACCCGAAATCGGCTGAAGATATATATGGGAGCTACAGCTACAGGAAAATTGCATCTCATTTGGATGAAATAAATGCAACCTGCATTTTGTTCACAGAAATACATGAACTGACGGCTGGACGGACATGCATAAATCGACTCAGAAAGTGATTCTATGAATTACACCAGTAAAAATGCGTAATCACTTAAATTCGTCATTGCCTGTTATTGATTTCCCCGTCCTGGTCCATTTCCCATCGCTCCAAAAAAAAAGCAAAAAATAAAAACACGACAGTCAGACTTGACATTTTCAAACATACGCTTGAAAGTCAGTTGTCGTCGTCAGTGTCAATGGTTTCGGTTGGGACGAAATAGTTTTCCAAATGATTGCCTTTTTTTCTGCACACCAACACAAACAAACACACACACACATACATAGATTATTTGAAATATTTACCATTACCGACAACACCATCATCAGCAACTACACGGAGCCAGAAACACTACGAAATACTTGTGTCTCTGAAAGCTGTGCCACCACCACCACCACTGCCATTGCCATGTCGCACCACATTTCTACTGATTGTCCTGCAAAAGAGTTTAGACAATGCCATAAAATTGAAGAAAATTGCTGTGACAATTTCTCGGCCAAACGATGTCAGGCAGCAAATAAGGCATAGCCATAATGGGACATGGGCTGCATTTGAGCTTGAATTGGACTACCGACAGCCAGTTGGTTGGTCGCTAGGTCGTTGTAGCTGTAATAAAGTTTAAATGTGGCAAAAAGTTGTTAAGATAACAGTTTCCCTTTTTTTGGGGTGTTGTCTATTTGCAAGTAATGGAGGAATACGTCTTGGGTGAAGAAATCAAATCAAAGCATCTAATGTTCGGAAGATGTCGTTTTCCATTCATGTGCATGTTTATGTGAATGTGTGAGTGTACCGAAATGTAAAATCGTTTAGCCATAACAAACTATTGTATGCAATCTTTTGGGTGGGGGATAATTTTCTCAAAATATGCCAATACAAGTGATGATGTCATATTTGAGAAATTTTAAGATAGGTGACAACATTTTTTAGGGATGTTCGTGATGTAGAAAAATACATTGACTTACCAAGGACGACAGATAGGATTAGTGAAACATTGGAAAGTAATCAGAAAATTATTCGAATATAACTCGGCTCTTACTCCATGGAGGTCTAAAAATGAATAAATAACACTAAATTAGTATAGGAAAAATCCAGCAATTTATGAAAGCAGACCTAAAATAGAAAACAACTGGATGGGCGTTTTAAAGTATTCTTTGCAAAGGTTTTCCACTCACGAAGAAAGTTGTAGTCAAATATATTGTAAAATACGGCCCAGACCCTCGTATCAACTAAAATCATTTTTTGTTAGTAGCGTTTCTACATAATAAGAGCTCAAAATTTATTATTTCTTTGTAACAACCTATTTGTATACCCTCCACCACATAGTGGTAAGGGTATTTTTTGTTACCTGGTGAAGGAAGCGAGATAGACCCAAAGTTACTTTTGAGGATTTTCATAGAACTACTTTTTGAGTTCGTCTGTCCATGTATTTTTGTGAAATGAAATTTTCAAACAATACTTGTTTGGCTCAAGGACGAACCCTATTGAAATTTGTGAGAATCGGTTCAAATTCAGCTCCCATATATATCTTCAACCGATTTCGGCTTGATCGTGCACCAAATGACCAATATTAGTCCAATGACTAGAATATTACCACATCCGACCGAATTCAGTCTAGAAACAAGTACATCGTGTTTGGGGAAAATCTATTTAGATATAGCTATAGCTCCCATATATATGTTTCATCCGATTTGTGGGGTTTAAGTCCCTAACATGTTTAATGTGCAGTCCACAAGAATGATATTTGATAACAGATAACTTATGAAGCTCAAAAATACCTCCGTCAAATCTTATCGTGATCTGATCAGATTTAGATATAGCCCCCATATAGCAAGCATAGCATATAGCTAGTTTTTTATCCGACATCAGGTTTATTGTGCACCAAATGCCAGCCAATATTATTCCAAATGAATTTAATTTTGGCACATCCGACCAAATTCAGTCTAGAAGCGAAATAACTCTCTACGGCTCGAAAATAACTCTACCAAATTTTATGAAGATCGGCTCAGATTTTTATATACTGTTGGTATACGTCTTCATCCGATTTCATGATTTTTGTTCAGCATACAGGGTTGCCCATATTCGACGGATCCATCTGGCAACGCCATAAGTTTTGACAGAGATGTCACAAGTAAACACAATCATTTTCTTGGTTTACAAACCGCTGGACAACGAATGTTTTCTCATCGGAGAAAACCATATTCGGCAGTTCACCACTTTCTATTTCCTTTCCGTTGCGGTGTAAGTTCTTGCACTTTTTGGGATTTCAATGGCTTTTCCTCGAGCTCATTTTTCAAAATTTGCCGGATGGAATATTGCGATATGTTCAGATCACGAGCCATTTTCGGCGCCTGCGATGTAGGTTTCGATCAAGTCGTTTCTTTATGTTTCGAACCATT